TTTTGACTTAACCTACGCTCCGGCCACTCCTAATTAGGCGCGCGACCTGCGCGACCGGGCGCCTAGAAGCCATGTTGTTTGAGGGTAACGGCATGTGGTAAAAAAAAGTAACACATTTAATTCTATTACCATCTCTCTGTCCCGTACGTCCTGATCTTGGGTTGCCACGTGCCTCACTTCCATCTCGTATCCTTTTTGTTAATGACAGTAAACGTGCTAGCGTTGTGGTAATGGCATGCTATGCATTTACCAAGTTATAGCCCCACGGTATGCCCCGTGTCTCCACCACTAATGATGGTAAAAATAGGAACATATATGGTAATGAAATAATTGTATTATTACTGCCGTGAACCACTACTTGCTATGTGGTAGTTGCATTACCATATATGAACCCCACGGCTCCTACCACTAACCATGGTAAAGGTATGAACATATATGGTAATGGAATAATTGTATTACCTTTGCCGTGAACTAGTGCTTACTATGTGGTAACTGCATTACCATATATGCATATGGGTTAGTAAAGAGATCTGCTTCGGTTACTATAGAAAGGGAAATATTTTAATTTTTTTTGCATGATAATACGTGTCTCATTCATATCATAAAGATTAAAGTACAAGTCACGTAAGGACCGACATAACAAAACTGAAAAGTTAGCAGAACATCTCTGAGCTTGACACCAATGCCCATTACCTGCCTTCGGCACCACGACAACAGCCATCGAAGAAAAGAATGATGAACCACCTCCTCACCCGAGCTCGATGCGGCTCCATCGCTGATATGCAGCTTTGCGGACCTCCAAGATGGCTCACCAAAAGTGAAGCCCTTACCGTTGAACGAATCAAACCGGGGCAACACGACGGACACGCGATCGAACTCCAGATCTGGCACCCCACCGCGACTAAGACGTCGCAGAATAAAACCATACCTGCCATCCACGAACCACGAAACCAGCACATGTTTCGTTTTTCAAATGTCGTCGATGCAGACCACAATCTGCATCCGTTCCTAGACTACCTTCCAAGCTCCGCGTCGACGCTGGAGCAAACGCCGTCGCAACGGCGGAGCCCGAGGACACATGTCCACCACGAGGATGCCGCCGTCGCCACGCCATCCTTGCTTGAACAGACTGGTTTTCAAATCCATCCCCAACTATAGGACCGATGACCTTATTAAGGAAGGATCCAAAGAATCTTTATTCAGCGTTGTCATCGTTGCCGTCAAAACGAAGACGATGAACAGCCTAAAAATCTAAACTACGAGAGAATAAAAACGCTCCACACGCGTGGATCCGGCGGCCCCCTCACCACTAACGACCGAGGTCGCCGGCGGAGGGGAAATATTTTACTGTTAGTTTAAGAAGGCATATGACAACGTCGTACAAATCTGTATTACTATCGATTGCTACTACTTTACGATCAAAATATAGCAAGCTCAGAAGGGCATACGAGGTGTTGTGTGTGCAGGATCCACTGGTAAAATCCATCAATTAATTACGACCGAATTTATAATTGCACGAGGCAGAGGGGTGGGGACTAAAATATCGGGCTGATTAGCATGTACACCGCGGGTGTTGAGCCGATCAGGCGCGCCTTGCTGGCCGGAGCGTACGCTTAGTTATAATACGCTGCTTAGTTATAATACGCTTAGTTATAATACGCTCGAGCTGATTTTAGCAAACCTACATATGTGTTGTGTTCAAAAAATAAAAAACTTAACGTCTTAGTTTTTAACTTTTGAACGTGTTGCGCTATGGTGGCTTGCAAAAACGTCTTGCACGAAGGGAGCAATTTTTGTTTTGAACGTGGGTGCGGCTCCATTGTTATTTGCAGTTTTTATGATATGAATTGGTTGCACGTACCATGTGACACATGTGATAAGCAGCACAAACAATTAAACAAAAAGAATTGCTTGCACGTGACAAATTTGTACCAGCACAAACATTTGCTACATGTTCAAAATTGCGTGCTGCTTCGTAATAATTTGTTTACTAACTAAGGGCCATGCTGTTTCTAACTAAAAATGAGGCAAATAACGTTCAAATTATTTTATGTGGCCAGGTATAATTCTGAGGAAAAAATATGGCCCATACAGGTCTCGAACCTGTGACCTTCGCGTTATTAGCACGACGCTCTAACCAGCTGAGCTAATAGGCCTTGTTGCTACACTGCCCTCAAAATCAGTTTTATAAATAACGTTTGCATGTCTCTAGTTGCTGTTATAACGTGGGACCACGTAACCATTGTGATGGACTGATCCGGATCCTCATGACCTGGTACAGCACAGCGACCGCCCTTGCCATCCTAATCCTCACACGCGGCGCGAAGGCTCTCCACGCCGGTCTTATCTACTCTGCAATCGACGCGCCCCGGCCGGGGGAAGAGAGGGTCGGAACCAGGGAAGGACGGGAGACCGGACGGGGCTGAACATTCAAACATGCCATATCATATCGCTTATTTATGTTTTCACCACACCAGCGGTACACCACATGGATCTGTGGCCTGCTGTACATCATATACACACGGACACGGAAAGCATCACAGGCGGGTGCAGCTCCGACCCTGCGAGATCCACCGTCGGCGATGAGCCTGTGATCTAAGACATCTTGACGTGCTCCATGCGCTGCCTCTCCATGTACTCGAAGAGGCTGCCGTCGTACATGCGCCGGATGGCCTCCCTCGACAGGTACCCTTCGTCGTCCCGCGCCAGCACGTACAGGATCGACCACTCCAGCTTCATCGCCACCCTGCATCCATCCGTATCATCTCACACCAGTCAGTTATACAACAACATAGCCGCAGCATGTAGCGACTGAAACTGAAGGTCCAGTCATGCTGATCGTGTAATTAGTCGGTTACCAGCCGAAGAAATCGAACACCTCCCGGGACCCCTCGGTCATCCGCCACAGCTCCCTGTAGCTCAGCCTGTCCGGGTACGTGCGGGCGTACTTGCTGAAGATGTTCTCGAAATTCACCGGCATGAACCTGCACAACATACAACACACATTTCACATTCGCCGCCACCACGTCGGTACATAATTAACAGTAATTACTACTACTACACACCGGCCCTCTTTGTCGTAGGTGCCCGAGTCACTCCCGTGCTTGCTCTTGTGGATGTTGTGCACGTAGATAGGGAAGAGAGGGTTGGGCAGCCAACCCTGCACAGCCACAAATCACAGTCAATACATATACAAAAGACTACTCCCTCTGTTCCTAAATATTTGTCTTTCTAGAGATTTAATATTTGTACGGAGAAAAACTGAGTGAATCTACACTCTAAAATTTGTAGGGAGTAAATGAAGCACGGTGTGATTTCTGAAGTCGATTCCTCTATTCGAGGGATAGCTCACTCACGGGCAGGGTGGGATAGCTCATGACCAGGTTCACCAGAAACGCGATGAAGGCAGACATGAACACGTTGAACCCAACCGCACGGCATCCTACATCAACCGACAAAAAGGAAGACGTTAAATGTCTTCTGCGCCAGCCGAACTGAAATCACAAATCAAGACGAAGCGCGGTGCAGCACACGTACGTACCCTCGTAAGTCTCCCACGGATAGATGATGCCGTTGTTGTCGCGGTCGAAGAAGGCGACGTGCTGCTGCAGCACGCTCATGTTGTGGTGCTGGTGATCATCCGTCGTCCCCTCCGGGTGGTACATGTCCGGCGCCGCCAGAGCCCTCGCCAGATCTGCTCAGCCCAATTATTAACATCATAAATATGCCAGTGAAAGACTGAAATGGCAGATGTATGTATGCGTTGCGTACAGGGCTTGGGGACGTGCTCCTCGAGGTCGCCGCGGACGGGGCGCTCCACGGTGACCGGCGCCTGCATCGCGACGATCTTCAGGGAGTCCTTCCCCCCGATGCCCCGGAGGTCCTCGATCTTGCTGCCCGCGTCGCCATGCCCATCCGTCCTGTTTGCACCCCGGTGGCCGACGCCGCCGGCGGTGTCGTGGTCGCCCTTCGCCTCACGGACGACGTGCCCGTCCGCGGCGTCGCCCTTCCCGTCCGTCCTGCTCGCGTCACGGACCTCGACCTTGCGCCCCTTGGTGGCCATCTTCGCCGCTCTGCGACGGCGCACCAGAACAGGGTGGCAACCGATGAACCGTGAGCGGAATCGTGGAGAAGGTAACTTGCAGGCAAGCTGTGGAGTGCTGCTTCCGCTTCTGCTACCGAGGTTACAGTGTGTGTGGGGTAGCGCCGAGGCCGCGCAACCATATAAAGCGGCTCAGAGCCCCTGGTACGTGGCGGCGGCGGCACGACGTGGGCGCATGCATGGCGCTGCCGCCCTGCTCGGCCGTAACGTGTCGCTGGGCGGCGCACCTACTCACCGAATCGTCGTGTCCGGAGGTTTCTCATGGCATCTCGAGGGCTTGAGTAAACCACTCCGGTCGTCGTCGAGCGGGGGCGGCTTTGTCTCGCCTTTGGCGAAAAGGTACGTACCGTCGCATCCGGTGCTATTTAAATTGGCCAGACCCATAAGCGCGCACACCAACAAACTCTGTTTATATTTCGAAATATTCTACGTGTAAATACTTCAAAAAATATTTTCTTAAAATTTTCAAATCGTTCATAACGCGTTCAAAAAATATTAATGCGGTGTTAAAGATGTTCGTGAAACTTTTTTTATACCATTAAAGAAAGGTTCACGTGCTTAAAAATTTGTGACATCTAGAAAACATTTTATAGAAAATGTAAAAAAAACTCACGTGATTAATTTTTTTTTTTGCCATTTAAAAAAAATGTTCACACATTTCAAAAATATGTTTTTCAGATTTGTAAAAAAATATATTATACATGTATCATGTAGTTTAAAAAAATGTTTCATACTGTTCAACAAAATATTTTGAAATTTAAAAAACGTTCACGTTCCCAATAATATGTTAGTGACCTTAAAAATGTTTATACAATGTAAAAAATGTTCATCTACTTTAAAAAAATGCTTAATACCATTCAAAAAATGTTCGGTGCATATTTGATTTTTTTAAAATTTAATTCAAACAAAAATCAAATGTGTATTAGTAAAAAATGTTCATCATGCATTTGAGAAATGGTGAATGTGTATCAAAAAGATGTTCCGCGTGTATAAATAAGATGTACATCATGTATTGAAAAAATTGGACATGTATTTGAAGAAATAAAACGATAAGAAAAAAAATTTGAAGAACCCTGAAGAATAACGATGAAAGAAAGAAAAAAAGCCGATGAAAACCGATAAGAAAAACAGAAACCTGGTGCCAATGAAAGAAACACAAACCTTCTAAAACTGGACCGAACCGGTCCTTAAAAGCTTCCCAAAACCGCTCTTGGCAACTACAGTACTGAGCTGGTCCACTAATCTGGTGCCAAAGGTGAGACCGAAGGATTCCCTCGGTGATATAACTCTAGTGGTCATCAGAAGTCAAGAAAGCTGGTGAAGTTATAACCATGGGCTTCTCATTTCCTACAGCCAGGATGTAAAGTCCAGGGGCACATAAATTGTCATGGGATTCTTGTAATTGAAATTGAGGATGTGGGCCTCTTGAATTCTCGTCCTCCTCATATAGCCCATACAATACAAATAGTATATAATATAACA